TAAATGTGTCACTTTAATTATTTTTTATAATACTCATATTTCACATTTCCAAAAAATAATATATAAAATGCTGTCATATAAATATTTCACGCCTCAAAAATTGTTGGCTCACCCTAATGCACAAACACATGCTTAGAAAACGCGTCTATACAACACTTCACGGAGAGGTGAATGATTTAATTGAGCTTTTAAAAATATTAAAAAACCGCAAAACATACGAAACTGTGACAACGATAGCGCTGTGCTATGGGAACAATAAATTGCCGTCCGCCGCAGACGATCAGTAGTATCGTGGTCTAAAAAGCTAGTCGTGTATTAAATTTTTATTCGCAATGGGCTCAAGTTGTAATTTTATAACAAGCATGTAATTTCGTCGCGAAAAGCGGTGAAGCTCCTGTTTCTATCAGAAAAAACAGCAAAAACAATAATTTGTAATATTTTTACTACACCAACGTGCCACTAAAGTCAAAAGGTTAATAAATGCAATGATACAAATGAGTGATTCAAGATTCATGTAAATAATTAACAGAATGTGTGATGGATGCATAAAAATTGCATTTATTTGGCTTGCAGCTTGTTGCAGCATATTTATTGTGGTGGACCTAATTTTTGTTAGAATAATGTACTTTTATTTTAAATAATAAATAGTGTCGGTTTTCGTGAAAATATCTTGTCAAATAATAAAGGCTTGTCATAGCTTTCATAATTTTGATCGACCGGTTTGTGTGGCAGCTGTATCCGATAGTGATTCGATATCGACGGTTTCGACAAATGAGTTAAGGTTTTTAGGAAGAAAATAACGTGTGTCAAATTTCAGATCGATATTTCAAATAGTTAATATTTTTTTGGTTTAAGGTGATTATCAATTGTCTATAAAACGTAATATGAGCTCACTTGGAGATAAACGGCTTATCTTATATTGTACATATGTACATACATACATATATACGCAATTACTTTTTTAGCACTTACATAGATACTATTAAATAAAAACATTTGTAAGTTTCCATCTGTGTGCTCTTTTTAGGTGCGTTCCTCACAAAAGTTTATATTCAATAAAACGCAATTCCTCTACAATATTATGGGTGCGCATTTTTGGGTAGTTTTTCCCCTTTTAGATTTCTTTGTTCAGCGTAAATTTTTTTTGGAATTTCATGTACTGTTTTATAAAATTGTTGATGTTGAATTATCCTATATGTTACTATTTTTTAATTGATCAATCTCTTCTTCTTAATTGGCGTAGACACGGTTTACGCGATTATAGCCGAGTTAACAAAAGCATCAATTAATCTATTAAAAAATTGAAACATGTGGCAACCCTTTTAAAAAATATTTTGAACCGCCAGCTTTTTTAGATCTATTTTTTAAATATAAAAAATATCTTTGGCATAAATATGTTGGAATATATTTTCTTTCATATTCAATTGATCGATTTCATTGTTTAAAACATTTGAAACATCTGACAACCCTTTTAAAAATATTTTCAATTGTAAAATTTTTTAAATTGATTTACTTAAATACATTGTAATATTCCAATTTATCAGTTCAATTGTTTAAAAAAATTTTAAGAGTTGCCACACTTTTTTCAAATTTGTTTTCATTTGTAAGCCTTTTCAAAATTATTTTCTTTTTTAATATTTACATATAATATTTAAATCTATTAAGTTATTATATTAAATACGTACATATGTAGATGCAACCATGTGACAACCCTTCTCTAAAATATTTTCAATTGTAAGCTTTTTAAGCGTATTTACTTAAATATATTATAATATTCCAATTTATCAATTTAATTAACTAAACAGTTTTGAAGGGCTGCCACATCTTTTTCAAAAATACTGTAAGTTTTCTTTAACTTATTTGTTCAAATATATTACATATAATATTCCAATCTATCAATTCATTAGATTAAATAGCTTCAACCGTGTGGCAGCCCTTCTCTAAAATATTTTCAATTCCAAGCTTTTTAAGCCTATTTGCTTAAATATATTTTAATATTCCAATTTATAATTTAATTTACTAAAAAGTTTTTACAAAATATAAAATAAAAATTCGATCATGTGGCAACCTTTTCCAAATATATTCTTATGTTGTTTAGAATTGTTAAAAATAGAAAATATTTTTATCTTAGTAATACAGTTATTGGTTTATTAAGTTAAATCTTGTAAAGATGTGGTAACACTCCTTAAAAATATTTTCAACTGCAATTTTAGGGCGTGGGGAAAAATGTGTGCATAATTAATTGTACTATTTATATTACAGTATAATCTAAAAACAATTATTATATTAAATTATGATTTTTTACTTAAATTATAATTAAATTTTCGAAATAAATTATAATATGTTGAAGCTATACTTAATATATGTATGTATATACATTAACAAAGTGAACTCATTAAATAATAACCCATAATTAGTTAAAGAGCTATTACTTTTGTGTTTTTTATTTTTAAAATAATTTTAGTATTAATAAATAAGTGATATTTTAACTAAATGCCCTGAACTAAATGAGCCAATAATTAACTCATGAACTCACTGTTTCTAACTCTTTGTGCTATTCACTCAACCTAAATATTTTCATTTTATATACTATACGATATATACATGCATACATACATATGTATATGTTTATATATTATACAAGGAAAGTTGGACTATCCATTAATTGCATTATTGAAAACTACCATTGATTTATGCATGTGTGTGAGTGGTAGCAAAAGCGCGAAAACAGCCACATTAACACATGAACATTATGCAGGAAGTTCAAGTGTGTTTTTGCGCTGTAGCTTCCGGTCTTGCAGCTTTTAGTTTAACGGCTTTTACCACTATTTACTTTGCATTGTTTTTCTCAATGTATTTTTTTGCTGTTGCTCTTTCGTTACTCTTCAACACAGCACAAACGGTGTGAACGTCAAAATGTACCGCAAAGTGTGCTGATTCCGCTGTGTTGTTGTGGTTATGAAAATCTTTCGACATCTTCAGCTTGTACTATGCTACTTATTGCACACTTTGTTGCCACAACACGTACAATCCATTGTTACACAGCTAATATTATATGTCTATATATAAGTACATATGTATGTATATGAGTATCTAAGATATATAGTATACAATAAAATATAATATATTAGCGCACAGCAGTTAACTGCTTAATTTTTCTTCGACCACTCGGTTGGTATGCGGTTGCCACATTTCTCGTCCAATACGATTTTATGTGCACAATTTAGATGCAACACGAGCGAAATTGTTGAAAAGAAAATATTTTTGTATATAATATACATATATATTTATGTATTTACATTTTATAGCTATGTTGTGGCAAGTGTGTAAGCTCATTGCAGCGCTTAACTGCAATTAACTCTAATTTGCACAAAAGTGTGGAGAAAAGCGTGGCTTTGTTTGCTTAAAATCTCGCTTCATCGTCTGCCCGCTCTTAAGTATGATTTATTTACTACGATTACTCTAATATTATGAGTTAAAAATTGTCTGCATATATATATACAATACACACACATATTAAATATATAAATATTTACTGCGTTTATTCACTTGTGCGTGGTAAACCGCTGTGTTCCAGTTTATTGGCTGTCTCGAATTTTCACTTTTCAAATAAGCAAGGCAATTAATTGGAATTTTAATAAATTTTTCGCTATAAATTAAGAAAAAACAACAACAACAAAAGCGATTGTAAATATGTAACAAAGCCAGTTGATGAATTTACGTGCGTGTTTGCGCAAATTTATTGGTAGCAAATACTTGTTTGAACCGCTGATTTATACTCATGGTATATGCATTTTCTAAATTGAAAGAAAACCGTTCATGCGTTAACAAATATACCACCATGTATGTACATATGCAGCATGATTGGTTGTGCAACTGCATAGTGTTTCAAAAACGGCGAAGTGTGTTTATAATTCTCTATGCGCTAATTCGACCAGTTTATTTGCTTATTACTTAATTAGTTGTTTTTTTTTTTATTTCCTGTATTAAAGAAATTCCATATTATTTTACTGCGATTAATACTCTTTTAGCCATGAAGTTTGTAACATGCCGCATGTCTGTATTTAAGCTAATTATTACCTCAGTTTTTGAGTTATCAGCTTTTGCACACGCCCTACTTCCCCCAGAAGCTTCACCTTTCCTCGGGTAAAAAACAGCCTCTTTCAACAAATTTTTTCTCATTTAAAAAATTCAATATTTTATTAGAATTTTTTATTGAAACAAACATACACTATTTACAAAGAACCTGACCTGATCCTTCTTTGGAAAAAATATTTTAAATTCGACCATCGCGACGCCATTTCTGATGACCCCTTGGAAAAAGAATGTGCCAGATAACTCCTTACAGCATCATCTAAAAATGAAAAAATATGTGTTTTAGTTAAAACCTTTACTTAGAACTTGAACGAAAAAAAACACTGAAAATTGGATTTTTGGCAGACTTTCTTACAAAAGAATTAATATTTCTGTGAAAATTTCCCGTCATTTTATTTTACTAATAGCTGAAATCCTTTATTCAAATCGTTAAGAATTGTACCTCCTGTGAAATATTTCATGAAGATCGGTTGAGGAGTTCTCGAGAAATCTTTCCAACCGACTTCAAAACACAGTTATGAGAACTAAAGACGGCGTACTTAGCTAGCTTCGAGCGCACAAGTTCTCAAGACTGTATCTCCGAAACTATTACTCGGATCAACTTGAAAATTTAGCACAATATTTTAGAGGTGTTGTAGAATTTAATAAGGAAATTATAAAATCGGCTTTTTTAAAACCCGTAACCCCATAATTCATAACCGCCGATATTGTACTGCTATAGCAACACCCTGCTAACTAACCCATCAAAGTCAAATTCTTACCTGAAAAACTTTTTTAGTTGACAATATGTCTTCATGAAATTTGGCACAGATTATTGTCCATAGCAATAGTACAATCTCCGAACAAATTGCTCAGATCGAACCACTGTAGCGCAAAGCTACAATACAAACTGAACCACCAAATTCAGACAGAGAGACATTTGTATACCCTTTTACGCTGTGAGAAAAGCCGCTATGTAGGGTATTACAGCTTCGGTGCAGCTGAAGTTAACGTTTTTTCTTGTCGTTTTTTTAAAAAGCAGTCTAATTACTTGTTTTACGACCACGGTGTAAAGAATGCAATCGGTTGTGTGAAATTATTTATCTCTTTTTTTTTTTTTAAATAAATGATTAAAATGTAAATGAGATGTCGTTGGATGGCGTGAAGAAATTTATAATTATTAAATTTATGTAGCTATTAGGTGCCCAACTAAGTTACACTGTTTGTCAATAGGCGGCTCCAGCAGCTAATAGTGATCGATTTTGATATACTCAAAAGGGTACATACGTTAGACATTTGAAAAAGCATTTCCATTTTAGTGCCTTTGTGTATGTGTCATGTAATTTTGGATTGAGCGAATATGTTCGATTTTTTCCAAATAGTTGTCATTTGTGAGAAGTGCTGATTTTATTCTTTCAGTCAAAGAAATCAGTGGCTGAAGCACATCAGGAACTCCAAAAAGTTTACAAAGGTGCTACCTCAAATGAAAAAAACATGCTTTGATTGGTTTCATCGCTTCAAAAACACCGGTTACGATATTAACGATCGTCCACCTGTATAAAGACGGTGAATTGGAGACGTTGCTCGTGAGGATTCAAACGAACATTGCTTCAGCATTGGGAGTCTCGCAACAAGCCATATCAAAGCGAAACAAAGAACTTGAATTCTTTATGACTCCAATATCAGTAGAGACATGAAGAAGAAAAACCTGCCAAAAACCAACCTGGAAACGCTTAAATGGGAAGTTCTACTTCACCCGCCATATTGCACCATTCGATTATTATTTGTTCCGTTGCATGGCACATGACTTGGCTCAAAAGCAGTTCCACTCACAAGACCACGAAAAATGGCTTGATTCTTAAAAAGCTTCAGACGATAAAGAGATTTAACGTAATGGTGTTCGAGCTTTATCAGAAAGATGGAAAAAACTTATGACTAGAATGTTTCGAATAATTCATTTGTAACAATTTCCTCAGACTAAAAAGTTTAGATCAAGGAACTGGAAAACGTTATAAAATGTTTTATATATTAACAGGTGATCCAAGTAGAGGTACATTTTTCAATAGTCATTTTTGACAGATAACGCGTGAGTCGTGTCAAGCTCCCATGTTATTTTTGTTCAGTATTGTTTCGCATTTCCTCATGGAAAGAATTTCGCCTAAACATTTCTCCTCTCTATAGGCTCTTGAAAAGGTCCAAGAAAATCTGACCTTTTTAAGCTAAATTTCTGATTCAATGTGTTAGCAAAATTGCCTCAATGGCGACCGTGCTATAATAACCGACTATTTGATGCCTGAAATTGAAGTTCGTGATCTTGGTGACATTTAGTTTCAACAAGATTGTGCCATTGCTCACACATTACATCAATCAATGGATTTATTGAGAGAACACTTCGGTGAACAGATAAATTCACGGTCTATTGGTCACTAAGATCGTGTAATATTATACCGTTTGACTCTTTCCTGTAGGGATATGTAAAGTTTAAAGTCTATGACAATGTCGCTTCGATTCAATCTTGGAGCAAAACAAAACAGTCGAAATGCTCGAATGCTCGAATGGATACGTAGCCGTGATCAACATTTGAAAGAGATAATGTTCAAAAAATAAGGGTCAAAAAATGTTTTTTCGATTGATAATAAACATTCCCCATTATATTTAAAATTTCTGTGTACTTATTGGTCAAAATTATGTTGGTATTGTCAACGTTGAACATTTCAAGAAAAACATATGAATTTATGTAATTCTTTAAAGACTTGGACAATTGTTTTGTATGAAAATAATAAATTTTTTCCTGAATATTGATTCTGAATTTCTCAAATATTCTAATGATTCATCGGATTGATGGATCGCTAGGCAAACATTTTGCATCGTAAAGAAACAGCTGCCAAATACACACCAAATGACTTATGGACATGAATCTTCACACTATGTAGGATAAGAAATGTTTCACCAATCTAGAAAAAAATATCTTATAAACTCGGTTCGCCCGATGAGTAGAAAGATTTTCGAGAAATTCAACTGCTGAAAACCGAATGAAGCCTTTGTAATCTTTGGAATCTGAATTCAAACTATAAAAATTAATATATTTTATTTTAGTTAAATTTTTCTTATTTAAAGTGCCTTCATTTATATATTTTTTTATGTGGCATTAATTGCCGTATTGCTTGTTCATTACTCCACATTAATTTATAGCAAATCGCACAATTTAGCATCTAATAAGCCGTATTAGTGGTGTATAGACAAGCAAATGGTTTGCGAAAGGAAAGGAAAATCAGAAGTGAAGTTATTACAAGAAAAAAATAAATAAATTGTTTTCAAACATGAAACAGACATTCACTGCACTTGTTGTTGCTTTTTCAGCCGCCGTAAATGAAAGTTTTAATTAGCTGGACCTGAGAAACGCCAAATGATGCCGACAGCCAATTTTTTTGCTTTTCATAATAATTAAGTTAATTAATCATGCTTTTATGCTGTTGCGCCAATTGCACTAGCTCGGCTTTACTCTGACGCTTTCCACTGCATGTTGCTTTAAATGACATGCAACTGAATCTCTCACACAAATACTTATAACTACATACACAACTAACTACTATCATCTTTTACAGTTGCAGTGACGTGACAAATCAATGACATCATTGTCAACGGCAACGACAGCGACAGCGACAGCCACGACGCTGGTCGAAACGTCATGTGTTGCAATAACGACGACCGACGCGGGAGGGGGCGTGAGCGAGATGATGGCGGAGGCGGCGGCAAAGCAAGCGGTGATAAGTAACAATAACCCAATAACCGATATTGTGAAAGAAACTAATGCAATGACGGCTGTAGCAACAAATGGTACAACAACATCAGCACCAAGTACAACTAGCATTGTAGTGGCTGCCGTGAGTGATGTAGCAACCAAGCAGCTGCCTTCAGGGGCAACAACAACACAACTCACTACGAACACGAGTAAAATACCACACTTACAGCAACCGCAACAACAACAACAGCAGCAGCATTCGTCACAGCACTCACATGGCAAAGAATTGAAACAGTTATTGCACTCAACCGATCCACTACGCCGTTCCGCTTCATTACGCATGCGCGGCTCAAAGTCAAATCTATTAAACAGCACTGAGCATTATGTGGAAATGGAACGTAGCACGCGCCACCTGAGCAATATGCCGAGCGCTACGGCCAGCCGCTACAACCACCCACTAACAGGAATGCTTGAACCACACCAACTTCAACAACAAAAACAATTATACGAACGCCGCGCCACACAGGCAGCCGGTTCGCTTGGGGGTGCAGCAGCAGCAGCGACGGCAACGGCAATGCGTCGCAAGGCCACACTTTTGTTTGGTTCGGCGATGTCCACGCAAACACCCGCTGTCACAGTTGGCAATCTGACGCGTTCGCAATCGCTGCGTCGCAGTTACCTAAATTACAATTATAATTCGCAACAAAAATCGGTCAAAACGGATGCAATCAAGGATCAAGGCACTGGAGGCGGCTCATTTGTTGACTCTGGCGCAGGCACTGAGGCAGCAGTTAATGGCACTGCAGTAGTGGATCATGTGGATACGCAGCATGAGCCACAGACGAATGGTGGTGGTGAAAATTGTGCCGTCCCAAATGGTTTTATGCAAAGCAATGACATAATGTACAAAGGCGATGATGTTGGCGAGCAACGCAGGATTGACCGGGATATGCAGAGAATGGTGAGTGAATAGCTTTCAGTTTAATTAAAATATTTTGCGTTTCTTGCCTTAAAAACAAATTTATTTGCAAATCATTTAAATGCGCTTAACTAGCTTGGAAAAGGATACGTTATGCGATTGGGAGTTACGAGTTCTATTGATTTTCTGACACCAGTGTCGAAAGATTTTGTAAGCGCATATACTATTCTAACCTACGCTCGCTTACAGAGGCGGCATTATATATACGTAAACAGTTTTAATTTTGCCATATGGTTGTAAAATACTCGCTAAATACGCTAAAAAAAATAGTTTGGCTAGGGTAATACTAGATATGAAATTGACAGTACTCCTCGTTTTTTTTTTAGGTCACAGGTGAATGTGTTTTGAGAGAAAATTCGGCTTGTGCTGTTTGTTAGTAGCTTTGTTGATATTTAATAATATTTAGTTATTTGTGTGTGAACTCCTTAGAGCTTAACGACCTCTCAGAGTTGTATTTAACATCGTTTTCGTTTTTACATTCTACGAACTCTAAACCAATACCAATATAAGATAACAGTGTATACAATTAATATTCGTATATCTAACATATACATATGTACAACAGTTTTGAAAAAAAAAAGAAATTTATTTAGTTTTTATTTATAAATTTAGTTATTTTTGTTAATTTAATAAATATGTAGAAAAAAAGGCCAAAGTATCTAATTTGCATATTTACACAATTTAAGGGGTTACATGAATTTCCTCGGGTAAACAGCCTTTTTTCAATAATTTTTTCTCATATAAAAAATTAAATAGTTTATTAGCATTTTTTATATTTACAAGCATTATTTTAAACTCGGCCTTTTTAATGCCATTTCCGATGACCCCTCGGAAAAAAGATGCACCCGCGTTGCAAGAATAACTCCGTAGAGGATCGTCTAAGTGAAAAAAATTTTGGCAGACATTTTTACAAAAAAAAATAAAAAAAAATTAAAGTGTCAGTGTTTTTCAAATAGTTGTAATCGAAAAAAATCCTTCGTCCAAGTCTTTAAGACTTGTATCTCAAAGATCTGTGTAAAATTTCATAAAGATCGGTTGAGTAGTTCTCTGGCCAACCGACTTCAAAAACACAGTTTCGAGAAAAACTCGTTTAAAGACTGCTGTTTCTACGAAACCACTTCCCGAATCAACTTGAAAATTTAGGACTATACTCTAGAGGTATTGTAGTACGTAATAAGATAATAAAAAGTAGATTTATTGAAACCTGTCAACCCATGAAATCCCTTCAATATACCATCTCCACGTTTCCCGCTTCTGATTTGTTTAGTTTTTTCTAGTACAAAATGTACCGGTAAATGTCGGAAATATTAAACCATTTAAATGTCTTTGCCATCTACGAGATTTCACATTTCCAATTAAAATCATTTAACTTCAGTTCATTAAACTGTGAGAGAAGCGTATCCAACAAGTAACTGGTATATGTCACATAAACTCGCATAATTAAATAAAAAGTAGTAGTAGTAGTTTCGAACAAAGAACTGGTAAAAATATTATAAAGAGCTATTATTAAATTGAAAGTAGTGTCTCGGAGAAAAAGCTAGTACAGGTCACATAAACTGGTATAATCAAATAAAGTAGTTATACCACTTTAATGATTCTCTAATGAGAACAGAACTCGAATTAACAATCCGAATCAATGATCATCAAATATCGTTTACCTTCAATTCGTTTAACTTTGGAGAGTAGCGTATCGAACAAGCAACTGGTATAACTCACATAAACTGGTATAATCAAATAAATGTAGCAGTTATACCACTTTAATGATTTTCTGATAAGAGAGAAGAACTCAAGCTAACAAGAAGAGAAGTACTGAATCGAAAATGGCTGTTATTTGAAATCATAGAATATTTCCTTTATTATTTGGATTCAAGGAGCGGGAAACGACCTTCCTGTAGTAGGTGTAGGAATTTTAAACATGGAAAATATACAATCTGAAATACTATTTCTCAAAAGTTGTAGATGTTATATAATATTTATATACTTTTGTAAATGACTGTAGGTTCCATAGAATTTTTTCTATAAGTAGCAGCTGTTCTTACATCACCTTGTCCAAAACAACAAGTTTCATAGCTATAGCTTCTTTAATAAAGCTTCAGTAGAAGCCGAATAAATGACAAAACTCCCTATGGCCACACCACCCCTTACCATATGCTTTAAAAGAAAAGAAAAAACAAGCACAACAAATTTATTATCTGTTTGTAAACATGGAACTTCAACTGGATAGAAATAATACTCACACTGCTGTGTTGTTACTTCCGGTGAAATCCGAAGAGTTTGCCACCACCAAGTTGGGTGCTCATCTCTCACATTTTCTCTCTCAGTTTTTCAGCTCTGTGCGCTCAAAAGTCTGTGCAATATTTTTAAGGGTCCTAGTTTTGTTGATATTTTCAAAAACGTAAACCCACAAGCTTTGGAAAATTGTAATATGTTTGTATATACATATATAGAAAGAAAGAGAGAGCGAAAGTGGTGAGAAGAAGCACAAAATACCACTCACAAAATGAGTGTTTCAGCAATTCCAGACATTCCTTTGATTGTGCCATCTTGGCGTTTGGCGCTTTTGGTGCACAAATCTCAGGTGCATACTTAGTTGATTTTCTGTTTTGGCGTGGTGCAAGTGTCAAGTTCCAAAAAAAAAAAAAATAAATAAATAAATTGCTAATAAGTGTTGTTAAGATTTTCAAATGTCTAAACTTGTATTCATTTTTCTTTTCTACATTTAATTTATTTTGTATTTTCGGCGCTAACACACACTGTTGCATTTTAAAAATGTTCTTACGCAAAGCTAATATCAAGGATTCAATATAATCGATGGTAAATTGTGACAAGTTTTCAATAGAATTTTTTTTTATTTCAAGATAACAAATAGTGGCAATAGAGTATGTTAGTTGACTTTTTTGTTAACCAAAAAATAGAAACTAATAGCAGAAAATAGCTGTATACAGTCAATAGTTAGAATTTGATGGTTTGGCATGTGTCCTTACCATACAAAGTATGTATGTATGTATATTCTCACACAAACACCTTTCAATCAATCTTCTTCCGTTTTCGCTGTTGAGTGTCCTGCATATCGATTTACTTATCATATACAAAAATACCGTTATATGTACATTTCTATATTTCTCATTAAAATATAAAATCACAACATTGCCTATAAATGATAAAAATGTAAACGCTCTTTCATTAAATATTATCAAGTGATTCCTGTCTTTCAGCGCCCCGAACTAATTTGTAACGGAATTTATAGTTTCGTTCCCTTAATGGACTTTTATTGAAATACTGGCAGCAAGCCAATTCAGAAAGTCCTTGCAGGATAATAACGAGAATCCACACGACAAATTGGCTGGCAAGTTTTAGCGCACTACCACATACATACATACATACACAGTTGTGTGCATTCATTTTTTTTTATTTTTTATTCTTATTAAAGCTTACATAATAAACAAATTATTATATAAACTAAATACGCAGCGCTGGCATAATAGGGTGCATTCATTTAAATCATTGCAATCAATGGTTCTCATTTCCATCGCTTTCCGTTTCATAAAAGTAAGATATGTTCGTGCTAATTGAAAATATTTTCCTTACTAACTTTCTTTTTCATTTTTTTTTCTATATTTATTTACATGTGTATGTATGGTTGAGTATTGGCGCACGCTAAAAAGTTGTCATTAGTTTTTATATCGATTTTCTGTGCTGTGAGCATTCAATTGTTTGTATTTGCCCACACACGTGTACAAGTGCTTTATGTGCGCGCAAGCACACTTGATGCTCCTCGAGACCTTTCCGGCCGTTAGCGCTACTATTCAGGCTACCTTCTAATAAAGACTTGTTTCGCGCTGTCAAGTGTTGTAGTAATTGCATAATTTAATATCTGCACTCAAAAGACTAGGCAGCATTTCTGCCCGCTTGGTTGGGCTTGGTCTATGAATGAAAAAGGAATTGACATATGCACTATGCACACAAACATACCTGGATGTGAACCTCTGAATTGAGTCTATAGGAAATTTGTAACTAAATAAAATTTAACTAACTAAAAATCATTTGAAAAATACGGAGATTGATTAAGCCATAAAATATTTATACAGTCCAACTTCGCTATAATGAAATCGATTGAGTCCTCAATTTTATTTGTTTTTGTAATTTTATTTCAAACATTCAGTATGTTTGAATTGTATTCTATTCTTCCATTTTTTCATTTTCAACGAAACCTTCCAAATCATTTAGAGAGTTGAAAGCATTAATCCGTGCATTGCTCCTCATCCCCACAAAGGTTCTGTTTTAATGGTAGAGAAACTTAAACTAATTTAGGTAATGCCTTATCAGTTTCTGCCAATTCTTTCTGTTTTGATCCCCATGTCTTATGTTGAGGCTTACAATCCACTTCGTAAAAATCTGACTATTCATCCACGCTCTTTTGCGCCTTGGATTCTTGGCCTTTCCGATTATGAGCAGATTAAGATTTTCTGATTTCGCCATGTTGCTTCCTACTTGGATGCCGCTTGATGTCGCAGATTTACCGAGTTTCACACAGAATTTAATGGCGTACCTCTGCTCTAACGTACGCTGCATTTTAGGCTTGCACCACTCACTGAAACATGTCGCCCGAAAATGTTTGTTCTGACTCTCCATTTGCTCGAAGACAACTGACCAACCGCTCGTTCGTTAGCTAGCAACGCCCTCTACCGAATCCAGTCGGTGCGCGCTCGCTCCGAAGTATAGTCACGGCGGATGAAAATCAGTCCTATTACTTTCCGGACAAATCTTGTAAGTAATTTCAACTCTTGACAACAACATTGAACAGTTTGTACTAGCCAGAAGGAAACGTTAGCGGCGTGACTTCTCTCTCTAAAAAACTGCTCATAAGTGGGAACCGCCGATATGTGACCACTATAGGACATGGCTGCCATACAAACTAATCGATCAAAATCAAGTACTTCCTGACTAACAACATTCTTATTTGTCTTCAAATGAACTCTGAGCTGTTGATGATTTATTTGATATTTTATTGGCTTTACCATTACCGTTATAATACAGAGTAAATATTCGATTATTATATTTTGGATAGAACTCACATCTCACGTGATTTATAACCTCTTCCAAATACTATAAATAAACCTTTGTATAAACTTAGTAACTAACTATTTCCTACAGGGCAGTAACAAATAAGCCAAGCACACTCATGCATGTATATACATATGTATTGTATGTGATTACATTTGTGCAAAGAAAAGCCTATTTTTATGGCAGGTAAAGTGTCACTCATTCAGGTTTTTTGACACGACCACATTTTCAAAGGTTCTTTTTTCTTTCGCTTTCATATTTTGCAACACAATTCGCATGAAATGTTTGCAAGCACATACTTACGTATATATATTATAATTTATATATATGTACATGTATGTACCTAGAACTAATGACTTTCATACAAGAAGCTGGTAGTACTTACAAACATACAAATTTGCCTATTCATACTTTAGTAATTTACTCGTATATAGTATTTTCTCGTCGCTTAGTTGCCTATGTTCTCACGTCTTTTTTCGCTTTTCTATAGCTACACCCATTTTTACACTCGTAAGTGTGCCAATATGGTTGAAAAAATTCTGCACTAAAACATATTAACCTACTTTTTTATTTAAAACTAAATACCAACATAAAAATATTAGGTATTCATCTGGTATGAGCAACTTTAATACTGGTCGTCAACATTTGTAGCAATTTGATATTCATGTATGAATATGTAATATATGTGTATATCTAATATATATATATGTATAGGTATATTCATGCAAACATAGCCTAGAAACCGTGATCTTAAGCCAAATCAGCTCCATTTTCATTTCTTGATTTCTGGCCATAAAAATGCAGTGGCAGCAGGTCAAACCAAGACATACATATAAATAATTCTATATTGATAGTCTTAAAAAAGATCAATTTTCCTCAAATGGCTCCCATGAAGTTGCATTAATATAGACCTATAGTTAAAAGTATAATGAAGTTCATCAATGAAATTATAATCCCAAAAATTCGAGTTTTCTCGATCAAGATTAAATTCAAGTAAATAATAATAAATGTGCAAAAGATATCTGCCGGTTCAGCAGATTCTCGATTGGCCGGGCCACAATTGTGTAAATTACGAAATATTTGATATGATTTTGTTCCGAAGTTTTTTCATTAATCATCGTCATCGTCTTCTTCATCATCATCATCATCTACAACAAAAACCGTGAGGACCGGAATTTTGCCTTTACTCACAAAATAACACACTATGGTTCAAAAACCTTTTCCCTATTTATTGACGGGATTATTATTCGTCGTGAGACTACAAACGACTCTATTAATTATTATCTTGAAAAGTTCATAATTTTCCAAATAACTAAACTTAACGTTCTTTCTAATCGCTCAAGTTTTCTCAATCAATTTATACTGCTCCTCGTACACTTCATTGATCCTATATCGAATTTGTCATACGAGGCGAGATAGCTATTGAGATTACTTGGATTTTCATGTATTTTAATCCTCTCTCCCCATGAGCACGCCAACGATTAATCAACTTTTCCACTCACTTAAGCTTCGGCTGGGATGGCATTCAGTGCTTTCAGGGAATATTGGTTCTTTCGATTTCGGCTAATTTTTTGGAGCACTATTCGCTAGACGCAGATTTATTAATATCACGTACAAACTATATTCATTAGCCTTCGTCTCGTCGCCAGTAATCATGTGTTTGAATAATGTAGGGTTCTCAGCTACGCATCTCTTTTGCGATATTTATCCGATCTCGTTTTTGCAAAGATTCAGGTATTTTGATTCCAGTGTAGCATGGACACGTTTCATACCCAAAATATTAACCAAACTGAGTTGAGACATTCACATAAAAGATGTTAGATGCTGTGCTATATCTCTGAAGACAACACGATGATTTTCAAGCACTGTTTCTCAAACTTTGTCGATGTTATCGTCAATAATGTCTTCATAACCTTCATTAATTGCTTTGTGCCACTCAATTATCTGTGTTCGTAAGATGTAAGGTCCTCCGTAAGATTTTTACCGATTCTGTAGCCGTAATTCCACACTAGATTTCAAGTAAAAACGTGTTGAATTTTTTTTCGTGGTAAAAATCGGCAAACAAACTTTCGCCACCATTAAAAACATTCGGTGATAAATAAACCGCTGCCAAACACACATTATTTGACATATGGAGATCTAACTCCACACTAACATAAACATGTTTAAATGGGCCAGTCCGCGTCAAATTTGATCAGATGTTAAAATATGCTTTATCCTGAAATTACACTTAATTAGACGTTAATCATGTTTTTCCTTCTTCTTAAAAATATTTAAATTGGTCAGTCCGGGTCAAATTTGATCAGATGGTATATGGTTTATGCTGAAATTACACTTATTTAGACGTTAATCGTGTATTTTCTTCTTCTTAATAGTATTAGTCCAACAGATGGAAAATTGTCAAAATAAAACTAGTTAAAGTCAACATTTCCACATTGGCATGATTAAGGCTTCCCATGTCACTGGAGCACATAAATAAATATACAAAATTGGCTAAATGTCACGGTGTCTAAATTGCAAACGGTAAAAGGCATCCAAGCTTTGTTGGAAAACTCAAAGGCTAGGTAGAGTTTGAGACAAGTCTACTAACGCCACGAAAGAGCGTTAGCGTTAGAAGACGCCATAAGAAAGGCGCTGATAGAAATTAAATAATTATGGAGGAAATTACAGGTTTATGCGGTTGAAAGGTGTTGTGGTTAAATGGTGATGGACAAGTGCACAAGAGCAGTAGTTGTTGTTGTTTGCCTTTCGGTCACACGCTGCAAAACGGGAACACTAATTTGCTAGTCCAAAGTTTTACAATTTCGCTTGTACATCCATTCATCCATTCATCAGTTTAGCTTTTATTTAACTGCCGTCCGTCCGCACGACTGGCTGTGGCATGGTCCAGCTTATCGGCACATCCATCACTCGAGCAGAAAATTGACCACAACTATTTATGTTACAGCTATTAAAATGAGCTCGCCGGCACTATTTTGTAGCACTTGATTTTCTTTTATTTCTAATTACATATTTACGAACTTTTTTGTTTTTTCGGTACGATAATCGCTTAATAGTGCTTAGCTTTGAGCTTTAGTAGCAGACGTAATTTTACAACTACTGTGCGCTGCGAATGATGCGATTCATGTGGTTATTTCTCAATTTACAGTTTGCCGCAGCATCGGCAAAACCGAAAAAAAGATATTAAATTAAAAAAAAACGAATCTCGCTCGAGTGGTTTGCGCGGTTCGCGGTGGCTGCGGCACGCAAACTTTGAATACCTAATTTCGCTGTCTGTTTTGCTTTACGATTACCATTTTAAGCAACATTAAGCATTGCAAGCATTCTGCGCAGCTTGCAGCAGTAATTCATCAGCGGCTAGTTACTCGCCATAAGTTCGTCATAAACCTTGTGAGTAGAGCGCGGCTGTAGTGGTCGCTGGCACTTATACCCAGTACGCGCCGGTTACCTTCACATTTTGTAAAAACAAAAATAAAAAATATGAAAAACGAATAACAACAAAATTGCAAGCCAATCGAGCGCTTAGCAGTAATTAACCACAAAAATAGCAACAACAGCAAGCACAAACTATCAAAATCAACACAATTTAGCTGGTAATACATGAATAGAAAGTATTGAAAACATTAATTTGTTAGTATACATCTACATACGTACAAATCATAAAAGAAAAATTAAAAATATTGTAGCTTTGTGCACGTTTGTGTTTTTACGCGCTGCCCATTGTCCGCTGGGCGTCGAATGCGCTCACTGCCCGAAAACTAATTTTTCACTTTAATAACATTTCAACCTTTCTCCACGCCGCACACACAGTCTCTGAATCTGAACGGTAGTGGTGGCGAACGTTCGATAACAACGACAACAAAATCTACAGTAGGGGCAGCAGTAGCAGGTACACCAGCTGGAAGCGGAAGCGTCGGCAATAGGATAACGGCAAACACTGCATCCACACCGAAAACGCCAAATAACGTTAGAGGCGGCACGCGTTACGTTAAATCTTCACCAACTGCTGCACAGGAGACGAAATTAACGCCAAAGACACCGCCCGTCACACCAGATTCGCCGTGCACGTACCTGGACGATGATTTAGATTCGATGTATTCGTTTGCGACCACAACTTCCGGCCGTTCGACCATGTCCTGTGAGCATCCTTATGTGGCACGGTAAGTTTAAGCGCCCTATCCATATTTAAGTAATGTACCTACCCTCTCTCTTACCGTCCACAGTAATGGCACTACGTTTAGCGGCCGCAAGATGAAATACGTTGTACATTGCTCCAACTACGCAGGTCAGGTGGGACCCGATTATTTAACGCCTACACAACGTGCTTCACGTCAGATTCGTCGCCTCAAGGAGTTACTTTGTATGGCACGGCAAGATCTCGAGCAAAAAGATTCGGAGATATTGCGCCTTACACGTGAAGTTGTCGAGTTGCGTTTGTTCAAAGCCTCGCTGAGCTCACCTGAAGAGCGTTCTGCTTCCAGCGATGCCGTTACTGTACGCGAAGCTGAACTAAAGACGTCCCAGGATGTATCGCCAATTGTCGATATGGTCGATGATGCGACCAAATCAAGTCCACGTCATATACCCAATCAACATCTACATCATCATCATACACATAACCAGCATTTGCATCACACTCAACCGCTAACGTCGGAAATGCAAAGTTCCTTTGCCGATTCGGGTCATTTCGAAGATTTGTCAGTACATTCGAAGGATTCTTATGTTGCCCACACACAGGATATTGCGTGTGGTAGTGACGAGGCAATTCTCGCCACCGACAGTAAATGTCACGATGAGACCTGCGCTGCTGCTGGTGGTGACACCGAAGAAGACTACACGGCCACCATTAAAAACTACGAGTTGCAGCGTCAGGAGCTTATACGCATGTATGAACAGAAAATCGAAGAATTGATTCGCACACAAGATGGTGCCAGCAGCGAGATGAAACGTTCACACAATGACAAAGTGGAGGCATTATTGCAGAAATTGGCAGAGTGTAATACACGTTATGCCGACATTGTACCCGACTATGAGCACGCCAAGGAACGTATTCGTGAGTTGGAGAAACAATTGGAGGATTTGCAACGTAAATTGGCTGAACATGAGGATAAGCAGAACAAAATGTATTTGCATATGTACCAGAAGGGACAGGAAGCAGAGCGCATTTCTCGCGCTGATCAGGTGAGCTGTTGAAGAATGTGGAGTTTGATAGTTTAGGAAAGCCAGAATATAAAGAAGAATTTGTTCTGAGCTAGATTTTTACAGCAGATGCTTTGACAATCAATTTGGAAGATTCAAGCCTTTTCGTGAAAATTGCTTCTGAACGATTTCAAAGCGAGTTTTCCAAATTTTGAGCGCTTGTTTAAGAAAATCGTGTAAGGCATAATTAATATTATCCATCTGAAGCTATAACATTTTCCAGACTTTCTTGCAATTTGAGGATTCTATCATAACAGCACTATGTCGGTCAAGAATGAATCCAACCAATTTTTGATACCCTGTTCGGCTGTGAACCGTATTGCAGTAAGAGTACTATGATTCGATTGGAAAAAAGAAGAAGATGCAAGGTTTGGGCTTTACGTCGGAGCAGGAAAAACTTTCTAGCTGCTATTTTCAGGTAGTTTTTGAACCGGTCTTGCATTTCGTCGTCATCCGTTGCCAAAAAGAACTTCTTTGTGAAGAGTTCAAGCAGCATTTCTGACAAACCAATTCATCTTTCTACTTTCTACCAAATTATTCACGTTTTAAATGCTTTAAACAATTTTCATGGATTTAATTCTTCTGTCATCCAAATTATTCAGTTTTGAAATGCTTTTAAACGTTTTAAAATTGCTGCTTGAGTGACTTACGAAAAATCTGCGAGGTCTTCTTGTGTTGTTGTTTTGCAACAACTTTCAATGGATAAAACTTCCAGTCCTTATCTTCAATCTTTTTTGGACGCCAAGGTTGGCCTTCGGCTTCTAAGCCAAATTTGAAATCATGGTAACCCTTTTTGGACACTCACGCGTAGCCAGATCATGTTCAATATTACCCAGAAGTGGTGAGTTTCGGTAGAACCAGTCCTTTTTGGAGGGCCGGGAAGAGATCGCTGTTGAAGACCGTGCTGGGACATTTACGACTTCGACAAACACCGACAATGTGACTCGGGTGAAATTGTGACGGAGATGGTCCCAAAAATGCTCACTGACGACTCCCAATTTTTGAATAACATAATCACAGGTGACGGTAGAGAGGATCCAAGGCGCATGCACTTTGCTCTCAAGGCTATTCCAGAGAATGCCTTCGTTGACGCCTTCAATGACTGGAAATCGCGCTAGCAGCGCAGTATCGACGCAGAATGAGCTTATTTTGATAGTTTCTAAAGAATTATAACGATTGGTTCAATACATTTTTTTAAATCCTCAGTCATATTACTTTCCGGACAAATCCTTAAAACCTCTAGGTTTTGTTTTAGAATAATTCTGTGTACGGTTTCACTGGCTTGCTTTTACTTGTATACCTATATTATAGGTGGATACTAACGGTAGTTTTTTTCCTTACTCCTTTTTCGTCTAACGACAGGCTCTCGAATTAGCTTATCGAGCACCGGATAACAAGGTGTCCATCAATGAATTGTTGCATCAGTTGCAGAGTACACAAGATGAATTGGAAAATATACGCGTAAGATTTTTCAAAATATTCTTCATACTATTTTCTATATTATTTTGCCTACTACATTTTATTGCATTGTGATTCTTAAGTGTTTTTCATGTATTGCATATATTGTATTTATATCACTATACGTATTACAACTGTACTTACATACATATGTATGTAACGGTATATGTATCACAAGTTGCGTTAGACACTTTGCATTGCATTCGTAGCAGCATAATTCGTTGGCTTTTATGTTAATTTGTTAATGTGAGTGATGTCAGCTTAGCATAGCAACTGTTGCATGGTGGCAATTTGGCAGCAAAATAAAATTCATAATTCATAAAAACAAATCACAACATTTTCATAATAAGCATAGCTATAAAAATTAAATGATTTTTTTATGATTGTTGAGTGTTTTTGACTTATTTATTAACATTTAATAATTATTTGCGTGAACCACCAGCATAAATAACATCATTTCATTTGAATTAACATAAACATTTGTTTGAGTTAATTTGTTTGCAAGCAAATTTTATTATTCAATCAAATGCAGAACGAAGCGAATGCGAAAATTATTATTAGTTGTTAGTTTTAAAATTTTTAAATGGCTTGTAGTTTAGAGAAAAACAAAAATAATTATAAAAAAAAAAAAAAAAATTAAAAGCAGTTTATGGCAACAAGTAGCAGTTTAATTTTATATATACATGTATGTATTTAGTCGCGTTTTAGTAAATAATGTTTACGAAGTGTAATATTATGGTATTTATTAATCTCTAACAGTGCAATTTTTCTTGCAACTATTTAGTTTTATTGTTTATTGTTTTAAAAGTATGCATATTTCATTATTTATTCATGTTTAAATGTTTGTGCTTCTAATTTTTACTATATTTGCACAATAATTTTCTGATTTCAATTAAAATTTTGACAGTTTTCTGCGAAGCGTTGTATAAAAATTTGTTTCATTTAATTGGAAAGAGAAATGTTTAATTCGAGGTTTTTTTAATAAAACGTAATTCATGTATATAGCATTGAAAAAGCTGATAAAATGTTGTTGTGTAAAATTATAAAAATTAAAATTAAGAAAAATCCCTCAAATATTATAAAAGATATTATAAAGATTCATTAGAAATCATTATTTACTTTTATTTGAGGTTAGATAATTTTAAAACAATATTTGAGGCATGTTTCTAATATAATAATTTTTATTATTACGCAGTTAGCATAGGTAAATCAAAATTATAGATATTTTTGAAATATTATTTAATTTTGAGGTTAGGACTCTTTCAAAAAATGTTGCTTGATATTCATTGTTAAATAATATTATTTTCTTTATACGAGGTTCTCAGTTCTAAGTACAAAAAAATTAAATATTTTTTAGTTTTTTTTTTAAATGTGAGGTTAGGTATTTTTAAAATTATTTTTATTTGGAGCATGTTTCTAATGAAATAAATTTTATTATTACCCAGTTAGGTAAAGCAAAATAACTAAAAATATATGTAAGTAAGTATTTTTGGTATACTTTTTAGATATTTTTTATATGTTTAGGAATTTTTCAAAAAATGTTTGCTGCAAAATTTATTGTTAAATAATAATATTTTCTTACTACGCAGTTTTCATGGCTAAACAGACATTTTTGAAATATATTTTTGATATTTTGAGGTTAGGAATTTTTCAGAAAATGTTTACTGCAAATTTATTGTTAAATAATAATATTTTCTTATTGAGCAGTTCTCAGTTCTTATTGAATTTTTGAAATATTTATTTTTGATATTTTGAGGTTAGGAATTTTAGCAAAGTTAATAAAATAAAAATGCAGGTCATAAGCCGAGCAAGCTTATCTACATATAAGTTTAATGTTCGCTCAAAATCTTAATTTTCATTTTTACTTCAACATATTTTGCTTTGTAATGCAGCGTGACATTGAAACAAAATTTAATTAAAATTTAAAAGTTTACTCTACTAAACTTCTGAACTTTTCATTTGCCACATTTTATCAGCTTTCAATAAACAAGTTACGTGTGACCAGCTTCGAAAGTAGCTGGGCTTCCCCGCTGTGTGCGAACATTATGAAATTTGTGCCATATGTATTATTGAATGTGGCAATGCAAGGAGGGCATGGTTAAATAAAAAACAAAACAACTATTACTATTATTATTTAATAATAAGGAGTACACTATAAATAAAACTGTTGAAAGCAACATAAACACACATACACAACGGTAGCTATAGCTGCGCAAATAGTGCAAAATAAATATTTATATTTTTCTTAATATTTGCTTAATAATAGAAAATGCATGTCTACAGTTGAAAAAATAATTAATTATCTTACTAATATGTGCAAAGTACGTTTGTTAATAAAACTATGCATTTAATGAAAAGTAACTGTAAAAATACACTATATATATTTTAGGCGTATACCCTTGATTTGCTTCATAAGCGTGTATTAACAATTTTCAATTATTTTTTTTTTTAATTTAGAATTTTGCGATTTACCTATTCCTAATTATTTTTAATTAGTCAAACTAATTTCGTTGTGAAACCTTGTAATTATCTACTATAATATATTCCACTTCTAAACTATTTCCTTTGAGACGCAATTTCTTTCAAAACTTACTACAATCAGACATAATATGTTTTTGTATGTTTAAAAAAAAATATCTACCATATATATACTACATATATTTTATAGGCAGCTGGGTGTAGAAAAGAAAGCGGCAGTAATCATGCTCTCCTTACTGCAAAAGAAGCAATTTCGTTATGGGTTCTTGGCGCCCGGAAGGTTTGTAAATTTCTCGTAGTTTAGTATACCGATTCCTCAATATTCCTTTAAATTGTTTTGTTTTCCTCTTAATTTTTTATATGTTTTTATTTTATTGTATTATTCTTTTATATTTATTTTTATTTACTAAAATATGTGCATTTCATGCCTTTAATTTACTTTTCGGCATTTGTTTGGCTTATTTGTATTTTTTCATGGGCTTATTTGTACTTGTATTGGTATTATATTGGTATTGGTGTTCATTTTGATTTTTTTCGAACCACATTTTTGCCTTTTTTGTATCCTGTCATTTGGTTTCTTCGGTGTTTTGGTTGAATTTTCATATTTCACGACGATATTGTTGTTTTTGTACATTGCATACATTCGTACCACCTCTGGGAAGTGGCGTCAATTCAATTCAAGAAGGTGTGGTTTATTAATATTTGAATAGCATATGTATTTTTGTTTGATAGAGTCTATAGATATCGGATGACGCTTCTACTTAGGTATATTAAAGGGACAGTTTTCAACTCGAAGTGCACTTATATTGTTTCTTAAGGCTTTATTTTTCGTGTGTTAGCAAATGTAAGATTTATAAACCGGCAGTAAATTCAATGAAATATGTTTGGTTATGTTTTCGGGAAAATATTTTTGGATCTAAAAATATTTTGGTCAACGTTGTTTTTTTTGTCTAAAATATATGTTTATTTCCTTTTTTTACTAAAAAATTTTCGGTTTTTTTTTGACTAAAAAAGTTTTGGCCAAACATTTTTTTTGCATTTAAAAAAGTTTTTTATTAACTAAAATAACGCAAGAGAGCACAAAATCTTGATAATGATTTAACTTTTGTCATACAATTGATAGCTTCGTGTGGTTTAAAGATAAGAGAGTGACTATTAGGTAGTGTTGACACAGTGGTTTAATGAGTTACTATATGTTGAGGAAATAAAATAATAATTATATTGTACATGCCCTACATATACTAATTATCTACAGATGTATTTATGTATTAAGGGGTTATAACCATTTGAAAGCCAAAAAAAAAAATGTTTTTATAAAAAAAAAATACAATTACACTTAATAATAAACTCTATTAACGATTAATTTTGTAAAGTTTTGGACTCTCTTGAGTTCAAAGTCGATCTCCTGGAGACCTTCGATGAAAGGTGTTTGGAAGGTTTTTTGCTTAAAATTGTCTCAAACTCAAAAATCAAAAAAAAAAAAATATATATATAGATAAATACATTGTAAAGGTTAGTCGAAAAAGTCTTTTCGTATTTCTCATTAAATTTCAACTAATTTTTTATATTTATTATGAACTTTAATGAACCAAATATGTACCACTTTTTGCCATTTTTCCGATATAGACATTATTCCATTAGCATACAACTTTTCTGCTTTCTCGGCGACAAACTGCGACAAGTAATTGTCAGAGACTTCCCTTGAAGCCAACTTTGCTCCATTAAGAGAGTTCTGCATTGACTGAACCAGATGGTAGACCGATGATGCCATGTCAGTGCTATATAGTGGATGCGTCAAAATTTCCTAGCCAAACTCTCTCACTTTTTTGCCGAGTCATCAAAGATGTGTGTGGTCTAGCGTTGTCCTGATGGAAGACAAAGTCCTTTCTGTGGAACAGTGCTAGCCTTTTCGATTGCTTGCTTCAATCTCATCACTTGTTGACAGTAAAATGTAGAATCAATCGTTCGACCAGGCTGGACCAGCTCATAGTAAATGAGCCAATGCCACCAAGCAGCCATCATAACCTTTCGAGGTCAATCCTGGCTTTGTGACCATTTGTTGAGCTTTCCCATGCTGGGATCATGACCTTTTCCACACATCATTGTCGTATTACCTAATATTATTACTATATAGAGCAGTAATTATCAAAGAACTCCTCAAAGTTTCGATTGGCGGTTCCCAAAAAAACAGTTTTTTTGTGTGAAAAATTCACATTTAAGAATGGGTGTAAAATACGAAATTAGTATCAAAATTATTATCTTATTCCTTTCATTATTACCGACAAAAACATMTAAGATCGTGTTATAATTTCAAGTCAATTTGTACCGCCATTTCGGAGAAATTTTCCTCAATCTGCCAACTGTGTTTTAAGGAAAAACGCTTATAGTTTTGGGAGCCGTTTACACTRAGTTAAAAAATTCTTCCAAATATGTCTATATCTTCGAAATAATTTATCGGAACGACTTTAACTTTACTGAGATAATATTCTCAAATATATGTACACTCGATATATGTATATTAAAAAAAAAATTGTTTTCTCCAATTCCCAAGTGGTTATAACTCCCTTAAACCTTCCTTAACAAATCCTATATTACTTAATTGAGACTCAATTTAAGTTAAATTTAAATACTATATAATTTCAAAAGTAATTATATGCATTTATTTCGTAAAATTCATAATTTCTGAATGAAAAATATGGATCAAGGTATGTAGTCCCTGYTAACTTACACTTGTAATCATAGATTATTAAACTTTATAATTTTTTGAATGACTTAGGCGTTTAATAGTCGCAAGTGACATAATTATAACTACATTTAGTGTACATTAAAGGTATTGCCAGTTTCTAATAACATAAAAAMACGCAACGAAACCAAAAAATATACATATATAGCATGTCATATTAAAAAATAAAAGATTTCAAATAACATCACCCATTTAATAACTATTTACTATTCATGTCTGGTAATATTCGTAATAATCGCAGATGTCTACAATCTAAATGTCTCATTGTAATAATGCTCATAAAACATTCAAACTACATAAATATAAATATGTTTTTTTATAAATTCATGCATTTTTTACAAATTCTCGCATATCTTTAATATTAATTTCGTAGGTAAATGGTTTGAAATTTGGTTTGAATTTTTCATGATTACCAAATTCGCATCAATTAGTACAAAACGTTTTTGTTCATTTATTGTAAATACTTTTTTACACGCAAAAATTTCAAGATTTTTTTAATGAAATTTAATTAATTTAATTTTAAAAATCAACGAAAGAGAAATGAAAAAAAAAAAATTGTATGTAAATAAACAGAAATTTAGCGTCAAGCAAAACGCGCTCACTTTATACTGTTATTTCCCTTCCTTCCCGCACGTGCAGACAATTTACCGTCGCCTGCTGGAGGCGCAAAAGAACCGCACCCATGTCGACCCAGAGGTGACGCTGCAGTTCCTCAAGAGCGCCATTTACTACTTCTTGACCGACAAGGAGAACTCACARGGCCACTTGCAGGCCATCGAGAGCATATTGGAGTTCACCGAGGCGGAGAAGTCCAACATCAATAAGGCGCGCACGGCCAAGTAGAGAGCGTGCGCATAGTAGCGGTGCACACATTCAAAATACGTAACAATACACACACATATACATATATAAATACATACATAGAAGCTGCAAGTAGTTGGCCGAAGCGGTGATGCTTAAAAGACGGAGCTATTTCGAAAACCAAATTCAGCTTTGACCGCTTGTTTGAGACAAGTTTTTAATTAGAAATGCGATATATATATATATTTTAAAATGCAAATATTTCTAGGACAAATAAATTAATTAAAATTATAAAAATATATATACTACTAATATGCAAGTATAGTAGGCGGCTATGTAGCGATACGTACAGTGGGTGGTAAAGAAAAATTAAGACAACAAAAAAAATATATATATATTTCGAAATGCGAACGTTTAACTTTCATTTTATTTTAATGTTTTAAAATAAATTTTGTAAAGTTTTTAGTTACACACGTTTATTTATTGTAAAAAATACATATTTTATGGGGTTGATATTAGCACGTTATGTACAATGTATGTAAATGATAATTTTAATTGAAATAAAATCGCAAATCTCAGTTTCATTTATTTTATGTTAAATGAAAATATTGAAATGATATTGACGTCCTGTTGAAAGAAGAAAAAATAAATTTTTTTATTACAAAAAATTAAAAATCATTGAAATTGGCAATAGTACTAGTTKATATAATATGTTTCGCTGCTAGGGTGATCAAAGAATATATTAGGAGCCACAACTGGTGTGAAATTTTTAAAAAATCGATTTTCGTTACTTTATACCTTTAAAAATAACATACTTAAATGAAGGTTTCAAATAGTTTTTGAGTTACGGCCATTTAAAGGGTAACCACTCCCTTCAATCCGGTCGAGCAGTTTATTTTTAAAAGTGCTTTGAATTTGCTTTATACTTCTATACTCTAAAAAATTGCTTTATACTCTAAAAAATTGATAGATAGACACCCTGCCTGGAGGATGGAGTCATGTGTAAAAGCTCGTGCAAGTAAGAAAATTTCTCTGATCGCCATTCACTTGGGAGTGCCCAAAAACGATCCTTTTACATATGCGAGCTAAAGTTAGAACACAAATCATCCTTCGCCAGGATCCCGTACTGTACACTACAGTACCAGGTTTGGGACCCGTCACGTAAAAATCACTACCAATGAAAACCCATCGACAGCCACGGATGAGAGACCCCTTGAGGGCATGCACCTTGAATGGCCGGTCCCTTAATTGGGAAGGTGCCGCTGCTCAGCTGATTGATATCGTCGTAAAAATAAAGGCTGACATCACAGGCGTCCAAGAAATGCGATGCACGGGACAAGGCCAGTAGGCGAGTAGATCCTTATGGCATTTACTACAGTGGCTATATAAAGGAGCGCAAGTTCGGTGTGGAATTCCTGGTGGGAGAGAGACTCCGTCACCGAGTACTGTCATTCACTCCGGTGGATGAACGTTTAGCCACAATCCGCATCAAGGCGAGGTTCTTCRACATATCGCTGATTTCCACGCCCCGRCGGAAGAGACGGATGATGTGACCAAAGATGCCTTCTATGAGCGCTTGGAGCGCACCTATGAGAGCTGCCGCCGCCACGATGTCACAATCGTGCTTGGCGACTTTAACGGCTGGGTGGGCAAGGAAGGTATCTTTGGCGCAACTAAGTCGTTTTATCCATATCCGYCTGTTTGTTTACAGTCGAACTAGTACCTCAGTTTTTGAGAAAACGATCTGAAGTGTTGAACCTGTTCTTTTCTTACCAAGAAGCTACTCATTTATCGCATTGTCCGATCACTAAAACATATAGCGGGCATACAAACTGATCGAACGRAATAGTATGCTGGTATGGAAACTTACACAGTTTAGGAGATATCTCCATCCAAAGCACTGAAKCAATTTTCGAYGAATTTTTTCAAAACGGATCASTATATCATATAGCTACCATACAAAGTGACCGATTAAAGTTCTTGTAAGGAATCTTTTATATATGCGAATATTATTACATCTTCCATATAACCAAAGTCAACTTTTTATTTTGTTTTTTGTTGTAATTGTTGATTATTTAATATGTCGTTATCGAATAATGCTGTCAAAGTTATGTATCGCAGTCGTTAGATAATTATAGCCATTTGTTAAAGCAAGGCTTGTAGCGTTGAGTGGGAATTTGCACCTTTGTACTTTTTTTCTCAAAGCCGTTTATAGTACATTGTTCTCAAATTGTTTTTATTATTATTTTTTTTTTTTTTTATTATAAGTTATGTTGTGATTATATAGTATTATACATATATGATAAGTAATCCAAAACGATCGCACATTTCTATTTTACTTCTCTCGAGTTTTGAAACTATTAACTATGATTATTTTGTCATAAAAGTAAGTGAAGATCCAGGTCTGTTGTGAAGCTATTTTTTTTATAAGTTTTTAGTCGATTTTCTTCTTCTTTATTGGCGTAGTCGCACAAAAGGGAGTAACCTTGTCGCTCGGAAATGTCCTTCCCGATCCTGACGGAGCTTTTGGTATTGCTCAACGTTAGTTTATACGGCAGAATTAATTTTATGGGATCCATCTTCGTTCTTCTCCGTAACAGTTTTTCGTACGTAAAACGCCAACCATGTGTAATCTGTGAATAGTTTAAAAAACCGTTCCATAAGGAATTCGGAGTTAACTGTATATTTATAGCGACTTAAGCTGAACGAAAATTGAAGAATACTTAGGAAATTCCCTTTACTTTAGTTGTCGAGTTTCCTTAGATCCATTCCTAGAAATTTTGTTTTGAAATATAAACTGAAGCCTTTCACARCAAAAGCGCTGAATTTTATTCATTTAGGCGAACTTTTATAGATATCCTAAAAATGTATGTACTTAGTTTAAAGAACTCATTTTACTTATTCAGTACAATTTTTTTAATTTTTTTGTTTTTCGTTTTTGAAAAAACACTTATTTCCRGTTTATTCTTAGAAAAGTCCAACTGTTATTATTTTAATTGTTTTACAAGTTATGCAAAGCTACGAAGTCCATAGTTAGATCAGACACTTGCATAATACCATAAATGAGGTTTATGTTTCTAAAACGAACTACATGCGGTTATATCATAAAAAGGAGTAGTTCAAATTATAATTAGCTCAGCTTCTTCACTATTCTCAATATATTCACTTTTGTAAGTGTCGAATAGTTGACGTACAGCTTCCACAACTTTTGCGTGTATCTCTTCGATGTATGTTGAGTCTGGATTGGTAGTCCTTTTGACATCAATTGGACTGCCGACTGCGGAATGAAAAATACGCAAATACATTTACAGTTTAWTTCATAAATAAAATATTAACTATTTTTTACTAACTTACTCACAACCGTTACTCTCTTTTTATAAGGCAGAAAATAGTTTCCACCTCGACCTTTCATCAACAAAGGTGTGAAGTCGAAATATGTTTTGAAAAACTTTTGCACCCCTCGGAACCAAGCTTTATTGAGCGGCGTATATAAATCATTTTCACCGAAACCAAAGGATGGCACAATTGGCGAACTATAACACAAGAATATAAGAAGATGCCAATAAATAATTTCTGGAAATCAYAAAAATATGGATGACGACTGCTTACCCCGTTTGTATGGCTAATTTGACAAAACCCAAACGTTTTTTCAACACAATCGTATACTTTCCCGGTTCAGTTAGTAGAGCTTCTTGTTCACCGCCCRCCGCCAGAGCAATCATATATGATGTAAAGCCATCTGCATTATCGGGATGTGCAGGATCATTCGATTTATTTAAATAGTATAATAATGATGGCTTGGATGATGACACATAGCCCAAACAACGCCATATTTCACGAAAAAATGGCGGCCAAAAATTAACGCTTAAAGTGGCGGCCTTCGGCCGAATTCCGGGGAATAAACGCATAAAATGCGTTATTCCGAGCAGCATATTCGAGCATATACCTACACTGAAAGTCATAATGAGTGTTGGAGATTTTTTATTGAAAGAAAAGTGCTAAAAATAATATTAATTTTTAAGAAAAATTCATAACTTTTTGCAGAAGGGATTTCTAACATATAAAATATTGGGTTGTTCAGTAAGTGATATGATTTTTTTTGTGTAAAACATTTTATGAAATTAAGAAGAAATCAAGAACGTTCCGTATAAAAAAATGTTGTAAAGACCGAAGCTGCCAAGTCTGGAGAATATGGTGGGTGTATGCAGATCAAGCTGCAAAATTTTTTGGCGATGGCTTGTATGAGCTCTTGCATTATCCGGCTGGAACACTAAAAAATTTACGTTGATCAATTCTGACCTCTTCTGTTTGAAATYCTTTCTATCGGAATTCAGAAAGGTTTGAGCTAGTTCATCTTTTTTAGACCATGATCCCTTGCGCTTTACAATCTTATAAACAAATGATCATCAAAAAGGCAACACTTATTTGACGATTGATAAGCAAGTTACATCGTTAAGGCGACAAAGCATATTTCGTACCGTAAGTACATGAGGAACTCATATGTGCGRTTTCGAAATTAACCCTAGACGTTTCATATGTACGTCTTCATGCCGGAAAGAAATTTTGTCTATCTTGTGAATGACGTTCGGTCAACACATCTTATTCTTACACTTCACATAATTTTCACCTGGTTTGAACAGCACTTTTACCCTTTTGATAGTGAAACAGTAAGATATGTCAAACATTGCTAATATTTCGCTGAGCAGTATATTGCTTCATAGAACCCGTCAAAGGTTCTCACCGACGCTATATGCTCTCACCAATATTATATGTTCTATATATATAGTATATTATATAATGTACTTACAATATACAAAGTACTTACGTCAATATTCCATGTGGAAAATATGCTAACAAGTAATTACGATTTGGTGGAATTTCGGCAGTCTTCCGCATTCTTCCCGGAAAATAGTCACGCATAATGCCTAAACCGCGATCCGAACGTAGTAGTACAGGACTTGAACAGAAAAGAGTACAAAAAATATAAAAATAGTACAGGACAATTGCAGGAAAAGGGATACGATTTAAAATGTAAAATAAGCGAAATAAATTATTTTTAAAATAAAAAGTTTCAGTAAAGTTTGGAAAAATTCTAACCTTAAAAAACTAATATAAAATTTTGATTGACTATATGTAAATATTTTTAGGATCAATAATTGCTGTAATGTTTGGCGACATTCGCACTTTAAAAAAATGTTATCAAATTTTGAAAAAATTTGGATTGGACTCATCCCGCAGCCGATCTCCAGAAGGACTTCCAATAAAAGGTGTTTGACTTTGTGGAAGATTGTTCTTTAATTATCTAAAATGTAAAAACCAGTGAAATACATTCCTTCGATCTTTCACTAATAAATATCTTAGATAGGTCGTCTAAAAGTTTCATGTCAATAGGAAAATTTTCCTCACCGGCCCTGTAAGCAGCGTTTCGGGAACAACGCGTTTACAATTTTGCAAGCCGATTACACTAAGTTAAAGAATTCTAATAAATAAGCTCATACGGATATCTCAGAAAATATTTGCCTGCTCAACTTAAAATTTTCGGAGAATATTTTCAAATACAGGATGGAGTCATGTATCGCCATTCACTTGGGAGTGGCCAGAAACGTTTCTTTTCCATATGGCTCTTCCGGTCTTAGACCAAGTATCCTTTGGGTAGCAAAAGAACATCCGTTTAAAGAMGAGCTAAAGTTAGAAGACGAACCATGCCTCTGGAGAGTTGTGCGCTGGATTCGGGACCCACCACTTAAAAAAATGCCCCCGATGAAGAGGTAACAACAGTGTCGGACCATGGCAAGGGTCAAACTGGGGCGCTGCTGTAAACTCGGCTATAACCGCGATCTCTACGCCAATAAATAAGAAGGAAAAGAAGTAAAGTTTCCATCACAGACAGYCCCCATAACCGGACATCTCCCATAACTGGACAAAATTTCATGAACATGAACAGCGTTTTCATTATTATTTTATTACAARGCCAATTTTTATAACTGGACATGGATACTATTTTAGTAATATTTCCTTAAAATTATCTCTGTTAACAGATWTCATAAAATKTGTAAAGAAAATTGTGGAAAATTTATAGTYCAAGAGTGCCAGTAATTTCGAATTCATGGAAAAACGTCAAATAACCTCTATTTTTTTTAACTATTTTGCGTAGTCAAAACTTACCCGTTGCCATCGAAAGTACTATGGTAGACGTGATAGTTAACCAGCTCGTATATTAAGTAAATAATGATCACAGTTCTTACAAGTAAACCACCAAAGAGCTGCACATTAATATTAAACAGAGAATTGTTACTTTATAATAAAGGTTACTACTTAAAAACACTCACAAGTCCTTTTAACGTATAATAATAGGCAGTAAAACACGAAAAATAGAATAAAAGGATATATATTTGTATTAGAATGGTACGTATCACTTCTTTAAACGTTATCATTTTGTTGGACACTCTTCAACAAAGTATAAGTTTATTAGCAGTTGTCATAATTTAAATACAAAGAATAACTATGAGTAATATGTTAAGTCCAGATTGCGACTAAACTGTAGGAAAACTATATCAACACTGAATCTGCGATTACGAGATATTTGTCATTAAGCGGATATCCACAGCTGAACGGAAGTGGATGAAATGAAAATGGGTCACAGATTTATTTAAATATTATAATTACCATCAGAAATGCAGTTTCACTTGAATATAATTAAATTATGTATGATATGTCTAATTATACATATGCAAAAAGAAAAAAAAAATTCTCAGAAATAATATAACAAGCGGATATGTATTTACAATAATATTGAATGTGCGCGGTATAAGCGTTTTTTAAGGTGAAAAGCTGTGTTCAACTACCAACAAAGCTATGATAAGTATGTATATAAAGATATTATTTAATTGAAATTGAGAAATATGTATAAGCAGGATGCCAACATCGAAAGTTTTTAGAAAGCCTGGCCGAAGCCCGTTTCTGGTAGCTTTCTGTCTTATCAGCTATGTACGTTGAAAGACTTTCAAAGGTTACTTTATTATTATAAAAATGAAAAAGCTTAATTGGTTTGACAAAAATGTATATGCATGTGTGTGTCCACAAATAACAACAACAAAATTAATACGAGTACTTAGCTGCATTTTTCTAGAGTAAATTTTTTCAAATTATGCGTAATATTATGCGTTCTTTTGATTTAAAAACAAGCAAAGTGTATTAATATTATTTACAGACATAGATATTATTAAAAATATGTTTAATTGGAATTTATTCAATTCATTGGCCAGACAAAACAATAACGCGTGTTTTTAATAAAGTAATTAATTCTACGAATAATGTCACTACCTATTCGGCTGGATTGTGGACATAAACATTTTTTATCTTTTATTTTATCTTATTTATAGAATAATTAGTAAAAAAAATATTTCTTTTACACTTTTCGGTGCTCGTCTCCAGAATCCTTATATGTATACCCCAACATACTTTAAAATTATCTATATTCATTTCTACATAAATGTTAATTAATTCGTGGCACAAAATAACACAATTTTTAAATAACAGAAAGAGGAAAGCCAATTATCCATTTTTTATCAGAAGTGCTAAAACGACTTCTTTTCGACGACGTAAAAAAACACTTCTTAAACTAAAACAAAGGCTTTAAAACTATCCTGCTCTTGTAGCAGAGAACGCATATTTATATCGGAGAACATCTATCATATCATAAATAAATAAACGTTCTCTGTTATTATTTTACGTTCTCTGGCAATACGCAAAAACTTGCATACACTCTGTAATGCATTTTAAAATACAGGGTGTAAAAGCGTATTAAATTTTGGAGACATTATTGTTATAATATAAAATTGTACCTCTAAGCCATAATTTTTCCTTTAGGAAGAAATAAATATAATAATATTTTGATTTTATTCATTTCAGTGGCTGCAAATAAGTCCCGGCAGTTAACTTTTTATATTTTAGATGCTACACCCTCTGTCACTTTATACTTCATTTTTAATGCAACTATTTAATTTGTGMTTTCATACAAGATACAGCTGGCAACACTACAGCTGCGCCAGTCACAAACGTCAAGTGTCAGTCATTGGATGAAAACGAAAAGTAATCGGTGGAGAAATTTAGACGGAAAAACGAACTGTATTAATATATACAATTGTTGCAAAAATAAAAGAAATTTTATTGCAAAAGTGTCTTTTTACTTCATATACGGTAGATATTTTAGTAAATAAGGAGCGTAGGAATAATGTACGCGTAGTGAAAAGTGTTTAACTGGTAAGGAGCTTGGCCAATTGATTATATGGGACAACTTTGGAAAATTGTGTGTGTTTTGCAAGTCCGATGTATACGTACAAAAGTGTGCAAAAAGCCTGGTGACCAGTCAGGTAACAAATTTCGTCGTCGCAAGGCTATCCACGTAACGTGCTAATCAGAAACCACATTTCATCCCAATTAGAAAACGCTTAGTTGGTATTGTTAATGCATTGATATCAGCAAATATTAATTTTTTTTATGTAAATGTTTAAACGAAAATATTCTTGGGTTTGTGCGTAACTTCCGGTGCCCTAATAAAGCAAAATATTTAACAAGTGGCGTGAATTGTTGCTCTATTCATGTTTGTATTGTGCACATTTTCAATAAAGTTACAATGCAAGCGGTGGTAMTGGCAGATTGCTGTTTAAAAAGCCAATAGTCGCGTGTATGGAGAAAACAAGTTTACCTGTGTATATGCAGTTTCGTCTTGTGAACGGCAAAATAAATATAATCATACTTCTGTAGGACTGTAAAAATATAGCAATATTGTGATTACATGTGCGCAAAGATTCGAATAAAGAAAGAACGAAGAACGGCTTGGAATAGCTGCAAATGTTAATATCAAAATATATTGCACTGAATAAGGTAAGTGTTGCATTGTTATTTGTTGATTAGATTTATTGCTTCCTTGCCATTAAATGTATGAGTAAACGTATAGTATATTTAATTTTAGAAAATTTTTCCGTTTGCTATAAACATCCAAATTTTTAAAGATTTTTAATTCCGTTCATGAATATATTATGCAGCGAACGCAAAATACACAATTAAACGCCGAAGAAGAATAACTTTATAAAATTCCACTTTACATGTTTTGACAAACAACATTTTACCTACATATGTATGTACATACACATATGTATATAATAATAGCGTTAGAGATTATTTAATTTTTTCGATTATCAAACAAGTATGTAATCAATTCTACGTCTGGCTAATAATGTACTACATTCATTTATATGTATATACATAGGTACGTACATATCGCATGAGCCACAACAAACCGGTTAATCGGCATTACACAGATTTTTGTTAATATTGTAATTGTAATTTCTTTAGGTGTTATTAAATCTTACTCTATTATTTGGTTTACTCTGTCTTTGGAAGCCTTGGCTTTGTATGATGAATTGCTGTACTAGCCTTCGACATATAAAAACAATTATATAGTTATAATACTTATATCAGTATACATGTGTTGTACATTTCTGAATAAAAAATAAATGCGGGTCTGTAAATGTTAACATAATATACGTATAGCAAACATACATACATTTTTTTTTAATTTCACTCAAAACTTCACTCTTTTTAATATAAATATACATTGACGTGATTGTTACTTTACATCACCTTGGAATTATAAGGCTATAGGTTCGAAAGATAGCCAAGGGTGGCATCTTTTCTTATCTGCCTTCTTGACAAGTATAGTACATGCCTTAAATATTCGTAACTCGTGGGCATAAAATAAACAAAATTCCATCATATCCCTAAAAAGTACTCTGCGACATGCGATATACAATAAAATAGCCAGCATCAACACGCTAAACCATTCCTTCTACATACATACGAACATACACCATATAGTTACGGGTAGTTGCTAGTGCAGCAACATGTTGCTGCTGGCTTTGCCACTATTGGTAGCAAGTACAAAAAAGGCTATTGCCTGATATAAGTAAACAATKCAATGCCACCGCAACTAGAATGCTGTCGAACTGGCTCTTTGCAAGGTTAGCGTCAGTAATTTATGTTTTGGATGCGCGTGAACTGGATGCAGTATTCCAGTTACCATGCTATTACTTACATATGCAGAGATACCACACACGCAAAAGCATGCAGTTCTGTTTTTTTTTTTTTACAGGCTGGGCGGTGATTATTTTATTATTTTTATGAAATCTTGGTGTAATAACATKCTTAGTAATTTTTTGAATAAAATATTCTTTATTCTTATTTAGTAAAGCTTCCATGTCGTCTATACACATACATATATGTTGTCTTCTTGTTCTATATTTTCCTTAAAGTGGTTATCATATGTATATACATATGTCTGTATATTTTAGCCATTCGGCTGCACCACAGCTATGGCACCTTTCACAGGTGCATTTATTATATTATAAAAGGGTATAAAATRGTATTTTATCCTGATTTGGATTGCTGTTGTAGCGACATAAAATATTTCTAAAGTAATTTCGAGGAATGGTGCCGAGTTGACTGTCCTTGGCCGGATAAAAATCCGGGTTCATTCATTCTGGTTATTTAGACGCGACTGTCGTGGAAACGTGGATCGTTCAGTTTGTATTACAACTATATGCTATAGTGATCTGATCTGAACCATTTCTACGATGAYTGTAGCGCTGTTATATCCAATAATCTATGCCGAATTTCGTGAATATATCTGGTCAATAAATAGTTTCTTGGGRAATAAAGGAAATGTGCCTAATTCAGATCAATATTTCATAAACTAAATTATTATGAATGATGAAACTCATAGGTTTTTGCAGAGGCTTTCTGAGAGGTGCCTAGGAACCTATTTTTCAGAGTACAAAACGAAATTTTTTTTTTTTTTTGATTCACCCTTATATGCATTGATGTTTGGCGATGCATATCTCGTAAATGCTTAACTTAATCGAAAAATCATAAGATACCATTTTTATAGAGCAGTAAATTTCCTACAAAACTATGAGTTTCATAATGATGTTATTTTTTTATTTCATTGAGTTATAAAATTCATAAGAAATAAAAAATTTTCCCAAAAATAAACAAACTTTAACTGATAATATCTTTTAAACGGATGGGTTTACGAAAAAATCGTACATTCCTTTTTTGTAGCGCATTCAATTTCCTACAAAATCTAAGGAATAAGAAATTTTTTGAAGTAGTTGGAAGCGAGATATAAAACCTTCTATATTATAATAAGAAAAAATAGAAAATTGTAAGTAGGAGGACCTCCCCGCTCCAATTAAGAACGCCTCTTGGGGAGGCTTCCCTAGAGGTGTCTAGGAACCCATTTTTTCAAAGTACTAAAAGAAAGAAAATTTTTTTTTAATCACCCTAATGTACGTACATATCTACTTATTTTARAGGGTCTTTGATGTATCGTTCTGTTCAGGGTATAAATATGTTGCCAGACACATTTTCCAACTTTTCTTCAGGACTTGCAATTTTCGCATCTCCACTAAAACCGTATTTTATTTTAAAATCACTTATTTGTCAGTTT